CTTCAGATCGATATGCAGCTTGATAGTGATATCGATCGTGCGATCGATCGTGTGAGTCATATCGATCGTGAAATCGATAGTGAGATCGATCGTGAGATCGATGGTGATATCGATTGAGTGACACGTTGGCCCCCCTCGAACCTCCAACCTCATTCTCCCCTGAAGGATGGCCGTATAGGCATAAGAGTTTACGTGTCAGTCTCCTTGGACGATGTTTTTTCTGGAAGAGGGGATTGTCGACTACCGGGATATCCTCTTCACTGTGCAAGTTGTTTTTTTGCTGGGCCATGCAGGCGGGCTGCCGCCGCCTCACGGGCCGCGCATTATAAATATAGGTATAGGTAAATCGTGTGCAAGATCTACGGTATTTAATTCGATTTGTTTATCTATCCTCTTGAAGAGCCTTGCACATGAAGCTGCCTGTGCAATGCCCTTCCTCCTTCTCCTGGCCTCTCTGTGGGAGTCGGAATCTTCACGGGGCCCGCTCGTTCGAGCATGGCCTCCGTCCCCCTATGCGACGGCGGAGTGTTGTGGCGTTCGCTGCTGCTCGTGGCTGCCTTCCGATCGCAGGCGTGGGTTGAGGCGCTGTCGTTGCCCAAGGGGTATAAGTGACTCAAGCGGTCGTGCCGGCCGCTCTGCTCTCGGCAGCTCTGCATGGTGGGGTGGCTGCTGGTGCGGAGCCTTTCCGCCACAGCCCCTCATGGCTTCTTTGGGTTGCCGGCCGGTCGCGCCCCCCAGGGGCTGGCGGCAGGCCAGGCGCGGGGCACGGCGGGCGCGCACCGCACCGTTTTTTTTTGTTCCACTCGGGCTGGGCATCATGGAGGGGCCGACCGGGCAGCAGGGCGCAGGAGAGGGGGGGGGGTTGAGGAGGATGGGCTTCCCACATGTGGTCCGAGCAGACGGGGTCGGAGGAACGCGCCGTATCACCAATGCATTGGCGACGCGGCTCGACATTGAGCCAGATTTTCTCCACGCCGACGACGCCGATGCGTCGCCATTGTCGTCGATGCATCGCTGATGCATCGGCGATGCGTTGGTGACGCGTCCCGATCCTCCGACCCCATCTACTCAGACTCCTGCTGAAAGGCCTGCGAGGAGGGCCTCCTGGTGCCGAGCGCGAGCGGTGTGAACAAGGAAGTGCATGGTTGAATTCCCTTGCTGTGGCGAAAAGGGCGTGCTGGCACCGCTTCGCTGTGCCATCGAGAGCTCTCGTGACCTTGCCGCGCCAGTGCTGCTGATGCTGCCCGTCCTGGCCGCCAAGACAGCAGCTCCCAGCAAAGCGAGGTCCTATCGTCCGCGGCACCTTCCAGTTCACCTCCACGAATCATGGGAGGAACGCGGCGTTTAATCTGAGGCGGCAGGATGAGCCATGAAGGTGAAACGGCTGGAGGATTGCAGGGAGAGAGGGAGGGGAACCAGGGTGGAAGGTAGACAGAGGGTACCCGTAACAGGGTGTGGATGGTGGAGGTCAGTAGATGGAATGGCGTGGCGGAAACGATGTGGAGGGGGAATGCGGGGAGTAGGCAGGGAATGGGGGAAGGGAGAGCAGTAGGGTTGGCAGTGTGTGTGTGTGTGTTTGCTTGGGTGTTGCGGCTGCCGCTACTCCTTGCATCCCCTTGGCTGCCCCCCTGTCGTCCTGCCCCTGTCTCCCCCCTGTGTCCTCCTGCCCACAGGGCCTCGTTGCTGTCTGTTTCCTCGTCATCTGCGCGCCGCCGCTGCGGGTCGTTCACTCTGCACCTACCTTGCTCCCACCGCACTGTACCACTGCTCCCCTGCCATTTCCCGTCCCGCGTTTCTGCCCTCTTCCTCGTTGCTCCCTCGCGATTGCTCAGTCGCGAGTGATGCGGTTAATCCCCTATGGGCCTATGGGCGGATCCAGTATCTCCATGCCGCACGATCTGGGCCAGCCCGGGCGGCGCGCCGCTGCACGCGTGGTCGCGACGGTATCTGTACATGTTTATATATACACATATATACACCGTACCTGCACCCTCTAACCACCACGAAAGTGTCTCAGCAGCTTTTCTTTCGAGAGTGGCGGCCACAGTGGGAGGGAGGCGCCACATTACATCCCCCCCCTGGCCCCCTCCCCCTCCTTATAATGCCCATTATTTCCGAAAATGAAGAAACGCGCTCCAAATATCCTTACATGAATCTTGGTTGCACGCTCCTTAGCATACGGTGCCCCTGTGATCAGAGTGTTGATCCGTTGACCGGTTTCGGGGGTCTCGCGTCTCCCCACACTGACCGTCGCATTAACAGCGCCCACACGATTTAAGTTAGCTCTCCAGCGATGCGGTCCGCGCAGCTGGACCGAATAGTATGGATGATCTAGCTGTTCTGATTGTTTTAGCTGTTTTGGCTGTTCTGGTTGTGCTGGCTGCGGTTTGCGGGCTGCTGTCGTCGCCGCTGTCGCTTTTTGTCGTCTTCGTTATTGTGGCTGTCGCCGTTGTTGACGTCGTCCTTAGATTGCCGCCAATCCTGCTCAGCTCCTGTTTTCTGCTATGCCTCTTGATGCCGTTGCTCTGCCGCATTTGCTCGCGCCTCCGCCCTCTTCGGTTTGGTGCCCACTATCCTTGTGGTGAGGTTTGGGCATATGAAGGTGAATGCGGCAGCTTACCGCCGCGTCGACGCGGCACCGACCCGAGCGCGGGCGTTCAAGGTTGAACGCCGCCCGTGGCCCGAAATCGGCAGACAAAAGACGATCTGTGAAATCGAGAAACCGCGATCACTCAAGGCATGAACGATCGACGCGATGTCAGAACTAACCTCACGTCGTCACGACACGAACCTGCTGAAGGCGTTTGAGAAGGATTGGTGGATGCTGCTGATGATGATGATGATGGTGGTGGTGGTGGTGGTGGGGTGGTGGTGGTGACGGTGGTGATGCTGATGAGGATGATTATGATGGTGAGGATGATGCCAATGACGATGACGGTGGTGGTGATCAGGAGTCGCATGATGATGAAGATGATGATGGTGACGGTGACGATGATAATGTTGCTGCTGATGCTGTAGGACGATGACGATGATGACGGTGATGACGATGCTGATGATATTGATGATGATCCGTAAGGGCTTCGCCCCCTGCCGCCTGCCCCCTCTCTACTCTATCAGAGTGGGATACGTCAGAGCTATATTGGGATGTTCGGGTGCCGTCTTGATGACATTCGGGAGCGTCATGCCAGGGCGGCTGGCGATGAGCAAAGCAGATTGATTTGTTGAAGTTGTTGTTGAACGCTTTGTTGCCTTCTTGGCATTTTCCTCCAGTTGTTCACTGGAAGCGCTCTGGGAACGGCTGGGGATTGCTTCAGGCAGTCTCTGGGAAGGTTATTTGTTCCTGCTCTGGAGCAGGAGTGGCGCCTTTGGGCAGCTTCCGCGAGGTGGATTCGTAGCGTGGGGGGTGCGCGCGAATTTGGTGTAATTTCCAAGGGGTCGTGGCCTCGGGGACGCGAATGTGGCGTAATTTACAAGGGATCGTGGCCTGGGGGGCGCGACAGCGGCGTAATTTACGAGGGATCGTTGCCTCGGTGGCGCGAATGTGGCGTAATTCACACGGGATCGTTGCCTCTGGGGCGCAAGTGTGGCGTAACTTGCGAGGGATCGTGGCCTGGGGGGGGTGAATGTGGAACCCACCACCGAATTTTCCAGAAACGGGGGGGGCAAAAGAATATCAGCGGAGCACATAATATCAAAATACAGACAATTATTGTTTTTCTGCTTTGGAGAGGGGGAGCGCCTTTTCGGCAGCCTCCGCAAGGCGGAATCGTGGCCTCGGGGGCGCGCCCGCTGCGTAATTTACAATGGATCGTGGCGTCAGGGGCGCGAATTTGTTCTAATTTACAAGGGATCGTGGCCTCGGGAGCGCGACAATGATGTACATTACATAGGATCGTGGCTTCGGGGGCGCGAACGCGCGGTAAATTACGAGGGATCGTGGCCTCGAGGGCGCGAATGTGGAGTAATTTGCAAAGGATCGTAGCCTCGGAGACGCACGTGCGGCGTAACTTACGAAGGATCGTGGCCTCGGAGACGCGAACGTAGCGTAATTTACAACGGATCGTGGCCTCGGGGGCGCGAACGCGGAGTAAATTACGAGGGATCGTGGCCTCGAGGGCGCGAATGTGGAGTAATTTGCAAAGGATCGTGGCCTCGGAGACGCACGTGCGGCGCAAATTACAAAGGATCGTGGCCTCGGAGACGCGAGCGTAGCGTAATTTACGAAGGATCGTGGCCTCGGGGGCGCGAACACAGCGTGATTTGCAATGGATTCTGGCTTCGGGGGCACGAAACTCAAGTATTTTTACGTGTCCCACGCCCCCCCCAGAAATTCTGAGAACCCTCCCGGGGGACGCTAACCAGGCTGGTTTTCGGCTCCCCCCCCTCGCGCGGACAGTAACAATTTACAGTAGGAAGCAGAAAGCAGTATTGTAACAATGGAAACTGGAAACTGGAACTGGCACAGGGAGCAGCAACCTTAAGCCTCGCAGCCTGATGGCCCCGCAAGGGGGCCGGCGGATTGTGATGGTGGTGGTGATGATGATGATAATTCTGACAATGACGACGATTGATGATGAGGACTGGTATGTTGATGATGATCATCATCATGATGTGGCTGTTGATGATGGTGGTATTGATGACGATAACGATGATGATGCTGATGATGATGATGATGATGATTATGATGATGATGATGATGATGACGATGGTGATGATGATGATGATGATGATGATGATGATGATGATGATGATGATGATGATGATGATGATGCGCCTGCTGTTGATGTTGATGGTGATGGTGACGGTGCTGCTGCTGATGATGATGATGATGATGCTGATGATGACGATGACGATGAGAAGGACAAATGTGAGAAGGAGAAGGGATTGTGGGTGCTGTGAGGTATCCTTCTAAATGCTGCTGGGGGCCGGGTAAGCAGCGGAGGGAAGGGGCTGCCAGGCCAGTTTACACGAAGACGGAGCAGGCGAACGGCCTGAACGTGATGCTGCACCCCAGGGCGCGCATGAAACGGGGCCCAATGTTCGCAGATGCTATCCAGGTGCCTGCGGCAAATTTGCTGGCAGAAACCTTGAGTTCCTACCAGACTTCTCGTGGCATTTTAACTCGACGTCGAGCAGGCGCGGTGGAGGCTAGTCGTAGATCGTGACGCTGGTGATATTCGATCCCACGATGTGCCGATGGTCCGATGTATTCGGTCAGATTTTGTTGCTCTTTTAGTATGACTTCGCGATCCAGCTGCGAACGGTCCGGAAGCCATTGTAGTCGTGGATGTAATTTGGCCGGTGTCAGTTGTGATGGGCATCACGGACGGCCGGGCACAAGGGACGGAACAGGCGTGACTGTCGCCGTCCTGGTTCAATCATATCCGTAAGGGCTTCGCCCCCTGCCGCCGGCCCCCTCTCTCGGAGAATGGGCCATGGAAGAGCGAAGTCATGAGGCTTTGGCTTCACCGTGAAGCAGCGTCGGAACTTCATGCGAAGTCGATGGGTAATTGGCAAGACGAATGGAGATTGCGAGTCTATTGTTGCACTCGCTGTTGTATGAATTTCAGAAGTGTGGCAAATCCCTTGTGTTTTTGGACTGCATGAGGGCTGCCAGCAAATTTAAAACATGTAGCAAATCCCCTTTGCTTTCGGACCCTGACCTCGCCGATCTGCGTGAGGGGTGCCACTGAATTTCAGACATGTGGCAAATCCCCTGTGTTTTTGGACCCTGACCGCGCCGATCTGCGTGAGGGGTGCCACTGGATTTCAGAAATGTGGCAAATCCCATGTGTTTTTGGGCCCTGACCCCGCGAATCTGCGTGAGTGGTGCCACCGGATTTCAGAATTGTGGCAAATCCTTTTTGTTTTTGGACCCTGACCCCGCCGATCTGCGTGAGAGGTGCCAGCAAATTTCAGAAATGTGGCAAATCCCTTGTGTTTTTGAACCCTGACCCCGCCGATCTGGTGAGGGGTGCTACCGAATGTCAGAAATGTAGCAAATCCCCTTTATCTTTGGACCCTGACCCCGCCGATCTGCATAAGGGGTGCCAGAAAATTTGAGAAGTGTGGCAAATCCCATGTGTTTTTGCACCCTGACCGCGCCGATCTGCGTGAGGGGTGCCACCGAATTCCAGAAATGTCGCAAATCCCATGTGTTTTTGGACCCTGACCCCGCCGATCTGCGTGAGGGGTGTTTATTTTTACCCACCCTAGCGATTCAGAGCATACGTTTTGGCCGTGGGAAAAAAAAACGTTTTGGGCCTCCCCCCTCGCGCGGTCCATCAACAAGGGACAGTAAGCAGCAAGAAGTCAACAAGGAACAGTAAGCAGCAAGAAGCAGAACTGTAACAGTGAAAACTGGAAGCTACAACTGGTACAGCAAACTGCGAATTCCCGGCCTACAGCCTGGTGGCCCCCCAAGGGGGCCGGCGGATTTGTTTGGTCACAGCGCATCTTGCGAGGTTTGGACTTGAATCGGTGCTTTCGCACCGCTTGGGGATGGCCGCGGGGTTTCTATCTTGCCTGCAGGTTCTTCCAGAACGTGCGGCAAAATACGAGTGAGAGAGGCAGACGTGGCGTGACAATTCCTTGTTCTGGCAGTGAGTGGAATATGTGCTCCCAGTTCTGATTGTCGCTGCTCGGAGGCGCGATACCACAGCTCCAGCTAGGAGGGAGTGCGGCCAAGGCCAGATCTCGAAGACGAGGAGGTCCGCGGGGAGTTTTTGGATCTGCGGTGGGCCCCGCCTGGCAGCGCCATTGGCGCCGTCCCTGGCGCGCGGAGCGCGCCAGGGAGGGGGGGGCAGCGCCGACCCGAGAGATCTGTGCGGATGCAGTCCTACCAACGCCCGATTGTGCTGGAGCGTACCGCTTCGAGATAAGTCGCGAGCCGCGAGTGCGAGCCGCCATGACGCAAACGGATCCTCAGGAAAACAGGTCCTTGAGGTTCGTGCCTCGCTTCGGCCTCACGGGTTCCGGGACAGTCAACAACGATTCTTGATGAAGAAGTGGCCCTGAGGGAAAGACCCGGGGTCCAGGGCTCGTTTCTTGCATTCCACGTGGAGGGCTTTCAGAGGCAGTGCGGTGCTTGGGCCTGGCCTTTATGCCGCCTTTGTTCACCACCCCGTGGCACTTGTCGTCGATGTTACCGTGTGTTCTTCTTTGTTGGGATGAGTTCTAATTTGACGCGTCTTGCCCTGGTTGGGATGAGTCCACCCTGGTGTGGATAAGCCCCAGTAACGTTAATCCAGATTCGCAGTGAGCAGTTTCATACGATGGCAATCGGTTCTTTCATGTTGTAAGGTGATCCTGAAGTTGCTTCCCCCTCCTCTCCCTTGCACCCGCCCCTTGCCTCTTCCCCCTTCCGCTGCCCTTCCTGCTCCTTCTCCCCATTCCCGTAACCCCGCCCCTGCTCCACCCCGTCCCCCCCCCCCTCCGCCCCTCCCATCCCTCTCCCCGTCCATTCCCCGCCTGCCATTCCTCCGCTCCTCCGTGCCACTCCGTGCCCCATGCCCTTCCCCCCTCCCATCTCTTCCTGCCTCCCCTCGCCCACCCTCGCCCCCCCTCCACCTTCCCGATCCCTTTCCCCGACCGCCCTCCCCCCCACGCCCCTCTCCCAGTGGCCCTCGCCCTCCGTGGAGGTACTTCTGGGACGACCGTGACGGGGCGGACTTCTCCGGCTGGCGCGCCCCCCCCCCTTCCCACCCCCTGGTTCGGGGTGGCGGGGCCCCTATGGCGCCCGCGCTGACCCCCGCGTAAGGTCGCCACGCCATCTCGCGTGAGGCTCCTTCGTTTTCGTCAATCGGGTGACTGTGTCGCCTGTGCTGTGGCTTGGTGGGGGGGGGGTCCTGGGAGTGCGGGCACAGCGCCCCCCCCCCCCTTGGCAGCAGCGTCGGATGCCCAGAGGTTGACACCAGCACCAGAATCGGCAGAGAGCCTCATTCGAGGGAAGATGATGCCGATCGCGGTGATGGTAGTAAGATTCGGGCTTACGTGTGGCCGAAAGGTTTTCACCAACCCACAAATCCAGGGTAGTCTTCCCCTGGTGGAGGCAACCCCCTTTGCTGGTGTTGGTGCTCATTTCCAGGCCTCCAACAGCGGGGCGGACGATATGCCCGCCTGCCGCAGCGCTGGGCTCGGGCGCGGCGGGGGCGGCGAGGCGATCGTGCTGTGGCCACGCGGTGCTCCTCCTCCGCCTCCTCCTCCGTCTCCTCCTCCTCCTCCGCCTCCTCCTCCTGCCTCCTCCTCCTCCTCCTCCTGCCTCCTCCTCCTCCGCCTCCTCCTCCTCCTCCGCCTCCACCTCCTCCTCCTCCTCCGGTCTTCGGCCCGTTCCTCCAAATTTGGCCTGGGGTGTCGGGGGCGACGTCGGGCTGGTGTGGTGTACGCTTGTTTTATCCGTTCCCCGGGGAAACAACGAAGAATGTATACACCAGGACCCCATATACACCAGGATCCGCTTTCCTGGGCAAATGTCAATGCATGGCCGCGAAAAGCGTCGTAGTATAGAGTTAGGTTCCCTATTATTTCCTGGCCGAGGCCTTCGCCGTGGCCGGCAAAAGCCCCTTCGTTGCACGAGTCTGGCCCTGCAGGGTGGGTGTGGGCATGATGAGGCCGAGGGGGATAGGGGACAGGGGGCGGCGAGTCGGGGAGGGGGAAGGCTTGGGAGAAGGTGGGCGCGGGGCGGTTGGAGGGTGGGATACCGGAGGGGGCGAAGCTGGGGAGGGAGGGGGGAGCTCTGGGCGTGTCCCTCCCCCTCCCTCCCTCCCTGGCTCGTTGAGGCATTCAAGAAAGGGCCCTGTTCTCGAGGGTTGATGTCTCTTCGGCGGAAGGCCAGCGGAAGTAAAAGGAATCCGCCTCCGCTGGCGGAAGCTCGGCGGAAGCTGGCGGAAGCAGCAATCGTCCACCCCAGAGATGGCAAGGTTTTTTGGTTCAGGGTTTGGTGACCCCCCCAGATCCTTTGAACAATGACTCGTTTGCAACGGCGTTCGAAGCGTGTTGACGCCGCGTGTCCGGAGTCTCGCTCATTGGGGCTGCCAGCACAATCAGTCGCTTCTAGTTCCTCTGGTCGCGGGCCACTCGGGACCGCCTCCCACGTCAAGACCACGCAGAATCTGAACTGAACGGGACGCAGGGAAGGATTTTCTCTCGGATGTACCCTTGGGACTCGAGTGGGTCTCCACTGCCTGAGCCCGTAAGGCAGCGGGAATGGGGGAACACCAAGCGCCGCCCCAAGCGGATGATGCTGGATTGCCACGGTCTCGAGGTCCACTTCCAGTCTGACTTCTGGGTGACCGTATACGCTGGGCGTATGGGAAGAGCGGGGCGGAGGGGGGACGGGCGATTAGGTCAGCGCCCCCAGATATCGCGCTCCCTGCCCGCATGGGGGTCAGCATAGGGCGCGCGAGGCCAGTGCTTGGGCGACGCGATGAGTCCAACATGAAGGCACTTTCCAGGCCGGGTCGTGGCAGCACCGAATGGAGGTTGGCGCTGCAGAAGGCGACCAGGAAGCTGCTAGATCTGGGGGCGGGCTAGGAAGACGCGCGGTAGGAGGATGAGGACGGGGGTGAGCAGGTGCAGGAACGAGACCAGGTTGAGAATGCGGGGAATAATCGCGAGCAGGAGAAGGAAGAAGAGGATGAGGAGGAGGAGGAGGAGGAGGAGGAGGAGGAGGAGGAGGAGGAGGAAAAGGAGGAGGGCGGATCGTGGCCCTGCAGGTACTTCGGCATGGAGGTAGGCGGTGACCAGGTCTGGGCGCACCACGCGGACAGGCTCTGCTCAGCGCCCCCGGCCACGGGCTGGAAGGCGAGCCGCGGGCGGGGTCGAGGGGAGGGGGTGACAATTTAGGGTCCGTCCCTGAGAGCTTATAGTCGAGATACCTTGTATAGCGGTTGAGTGTGCGTGTGTGTATGTGGTCCGTAGCCATGTTGGCTCAGGCACCTCTGTATGCTTGGTGTTGCAAGTAGCGCTGACCATGTTTTCGTATCCCGTCCACACACCCAGAAGGTGTTGCGAGAAGTTCGATTCAGAGTGGTAGCGGAGCCGGGGACAGCTCTCGGCTCCAAAACGCACTGCGCACTCCGAACTCTCGACGCCTCCATGTGTGCTACGACATGTCAGGCGAGGACGGTGACGGCTTAGGCCAGATGGGGGGAGCCCCGGCTGAAGGCGCTGGGGTAGACGAGAATGCGGCGGGAACTAAAGATGACGACGGTGCAAGTGCCATTTGTTCTGGGCGGTGAGGTATTTGCCGTCTGTTCTGGGTGTTGAGGTATTCGCTTTCTGTTCTGAGCGCAGATCCGAGGCGCTTTCTTGTGGTCGCCAGAGCGGCACATTCAACCACGAGATTGCGGTCCTGCATGTGCCGCATGTTGGAAGTTGTAGCGCTGACATGGATGGGGGCTGGTGGCAAAGAACTGAGGGTATGAGTGACAATTGCGGCGTTAATGTTGTCCTTGTTGGCGCGAGTGGGAGGCTAGGGTCCATCGGGTCAGATGTTGTTGGGGGCAGAGGGTTTGCTCAGCAGGAGGATCGTGTAGGATAACACTTTCATGGCCAACGCATGGCAACCAAGCTCGCTGCTCTCAACTCCTTCATGCGTCAGAAAGGTGATGTCCCACATGGGTCGCGCACAACGGTGCGCTTCATCTCCTCGAGTGTGTGTATGCTGGTTCTGATGCGGCTGCGCAGGCGCAGTCCGAAAGCGTGTGGTTCGACAGATGCCCAGAGGAGCAAGGCCGATCATTGTCCCGCTTTGGCTAGGTTTTCTCTGGGGCCCGAGGAGGCCGAGGTCAAGCGCGTTTGGAGTTGTTGCTATCAAGAGTGCCGGGGACGAGGAATGTTGCGAGGTTTTCCGTGCAGTGATGGCGCTCTTGCCTAAGGTTCCGACGGGGTTGGGGGTCAGCGACGGCGCTCGAAAACTTGACGGGTGTGTGCTCCAAGCTGCTTCGGTAGCCTTTCCTGTGGACCAGGATTACCTGGCCCCTTTTGAGCCTTGTGTCGCCGCGGAGATCCAGACCACATTCTCTTGCGCAGGAAAGTAACAGTGGCTTTGAGCATATATCGAAGGCGGGGTGCGTGGCCTTTAATGGACATGGCCCACGCTTGCAACGTGGCGCCACATCCTATGCTTCATGGGGTTCCCGAAGGATTCCAGGCCGCCTCTTTTCCAGTCGTCCTTCGCTCAAGGGGCACGGGGTAGAATGCGTTTCGAGTCGCATATGCTGCCGGCACTGCTGCCTTGTGCCTCAGGACATCACATCAGTTAGTCACGAAACGAATACTTGCTGCCAGATGGGACCTTCTGGAAACATCTGGATCGGTGAAGATGCTGAGCTCTGCGTCCGAGATGCAAACCTCACAGTGCCTCGGAAGCGCACGCGTTTAATCAGGGACTTGGGTCTCGGGCTAGCTCAGTCGATCGTCCTCCTCCGCGCGTTCTGTGTCTCACTCTTAGACTTGTTGCTGCAGTTTTATGAGCCCCCGAAGCTCTTGATTTCGACCTACCAAGCATGTGCACGGCTGCTCACGCGGTTGGCCCCAGCAACGCGCTATCTTATGACATGTGCACGAACATCGTACGATTCGGGTTACGGGTTCAGTTCCCCCACGTCTCTCATATTGCAGCTACTATTCGTGGCAGGTGCCTTTCCCACGTGTGATGACCTTCCCCGACGTCGTGATGCGTATTAGATGTCAAGACGGTGCCTGGTGTCAAGCCCGCAGCGTCGCTGGTCGAGTACCCTTTCTTTGGTTCACAGGTTCTACGAGCTTCAAGAATGGAGTTCCTCGCAGAAATTGCAGAAACAATTTATGGAACAGATGAAGCCAAATTTCGGTCCCGTCGAACCCCCTGTGTTGGCACTCTTCCGTCGGATGAAGAACTGTCTCCCTGGTGTTTCGCTGTCTGACCTCGCCCATGTCCTCCTTTTATGTTTCCTCTTTTTTCTTAGACAACATAATTTCAAAAAAATAGCTGCCCGTTCCAGCATGCGCATTCCCCTGGCGGCTCTTCGTCTGTTACCCAGGTGTGTCTGTACCAGTGCTCGTTTTCACTCCCGACCTCGTAGGTGTCTTATGGAAGATGCCTCTCGTTCTCACGGCCTGGATGATCTGATGCATTCTATTCTCTGTCCCTTACTTCGAAGGATTTTCTAGTCCTGGATGGGTGTATTGATTCCGAGGTCTCCTGAGGGTTCGCCCTGGCTCTTTTGCTGCCTCCTGTTTCGCGGACGACAACGGCGGCGGGCGTCGCAGCGTCGCGCCGCCCGCAGATCTGCCCCCGCGTGGCAAGCGTGAGAAAATCGCCCACGCAAGCTTATGCCTGCAATTCTGGCGCTTCTGACTCAGCTTCGCAGCGTCCAGCAAACGCGGGCGACCGTCATTCGGGTCTGCCCCTGCGGCAATCTGCCAAGTACTGACCTGTTCGCGCTTGCAAGCGGGCACTTGCGCTCCCGCGGCGCGCCTGAGCACGCGCAGGAGCGAATCCTGCGATGGACAGCGCATCCGAGCAGCATGCCTGCTCGAGATTCGCACCGGGGCATGGCTAGGCCCCGGTCGCCGCGCACCCCGAAGCAGCTCGACCCGACGGCCTCCGCTGGCGCGTCCGACAGCTGGACCGGCGCGCTGACGGCCAGGAGCGCTGGCTGGCGCAGCGAAGCATTCAACGCAGGCGCATGATTCGCTGGGATCTGCAGATGGCCCCATACATCATGCTCGGCAAACCTATGAGAACAAATCACAAACTGTTTCAGCGGCCCGTAGTAGGCATCTATGATTTCGCGAAAACGGACATCGACGACCTCCCCTGGATTTACAAAAACTCCGAAGTTGCACGCGCGACGAGCGGCGCAAGGTCAGCACCCCTGCGCGGCACTCCCGCCAATCTGGCCAAGACCGGCCAGCCCCTCAAGCACCGGAAGCACGAGCGCTCGTGTACAAAAACATGATGCTTGGTCACAACTTTCCCCAGCACATGTCACGATGGCTCGAGAAATAACAACGGCTGCTTCTTTGGGATCAGAACAGCCAATCACCCTTCTCTGAGCCAAGGGCTCGATCTTCTGGCAGACAGCTTTGGTGAGGGGGCGGTGCGCATCTGTCGACTCACCGGCTGCTACTCTGGGCGGCGCATTCCGCAACCCACTCGGCCCCGCGCCTCGGACTAGCCTGGCCGGCACAACATTCTCCCGCAGCAAGTCGCGAGGCAGTGCGAATTGCCAGGGAAAGCAATGCACTGCTCGGCCCGGTTTATGATTATTCGCCGATGCTCGTCGCGCGACTCGGCGACGCGTTCTCTCCTACCCGCGACTCCGCACACCATGTCTGGTTAGACGTTTTGGATCGAATGGACTCGCTGTCATTCTCGCCCTTCGCCATAGGTAATTGGCCCCGAGCGCAATCGGACTTCCCCCTGACCGAATACTTAACAAAATCGAGCGAACGCCCTCTGAATCTTCCATTCTTGACTAGCCACGCCCGCCGCGATCGACAATCTGTGATGTTCGGCAATTTTTCCAGATGGCCCCTTTTTGTTTACCTTTGCCCGCTGGCTTAACTAGGTTTGACAGACGGGCGGCCTGGGCGCGGGTCCTGAACAGTGAGTTGTCATCAAACTGCAGACGCAAGCACTAAGTCCACGTATCGAGCCGACGCCGACTCCAAAGATAGCGGCAGGCCACGCGGCAAAGAGCCTGCGCTCGCAGGCGAACCTCGAAAATTTGCGAAGGGGTCCCAGGGGAAGGCGGGCAGCCGAGTGCATGCTGAGACACGCATCGCGTAGAATAGCCGACTGGAGACTTCGGTCGACGAAAGCTTGTTCCGCCCCTATCTACGCCAGGGGAAAGACATCGCGATGCCGCTTGCAGGGGGGCGTCCCAGGGGGCCGGGATAGAGCGCGAGAGTGCGCCGACATTTCAGCTTTGCGCGCGCAGAGTTGAGCCGGCAAAATCAACGCGAACAAGTGCTTCGGCGCGATGGGCGGTCGCGGGGCCCTGAGGTCCAGCTCGGGGGTCGTGGCCGGGCTGCTGCTTTAGGGTTCCTTCGGATGTCGGCCTTCAAGTTGCCCGGTCTTTCCGAGTCAGCGAAGCGAAAGTATGCCGCCCTGTGCTGGTCGCTTGTGCAGCGTCGGTCTGTCCTGTGGGCTCTGCCGGCCAAGATGCGAGCTACGGCCGCGGGGGCGCGCGTCGCTGCGTCTCGAGCTGCCCTGGGGCCAGATTTCGAGCCCCTGCTGGCCCTCAGGGCCTCGACAGAGGATGTCCTTGAGATCTGGCAAGCCGTCGTTTCAGATTGCGCCACGTTTTCGGGCATTGAGGATGGCCGCGAGGATGTGCGAGAGTGGGTCGAGAACATGGTTGAACATGGCGCGCGCTGGCCGCGTCGAAGGTGCATGGGCCAATCTGTCGCCTCAAGATATGCGGTGGGCCATCGGCAGGGTTAATTCGCCTAGCTCCCTTCCCCCGCCCGGGGGCGACTCGTGGTGCATTGGGATTGCCGCGGGGCGGAAGGACGTGGAAGTGGCTGCTGAAGTCGGCGGAGGTCGGTTCCGCGCGCGCCGAGCTTGATGCGCTCAGGCAGGGCATGTGGCTTATGGACTTGGCGGACCAATGTGAGACTACTGGCGCTGCCCCTTCTCCCTGCGTGCGGCGACGCCCGACGGGCGTTGCTTGCGTCTGCTTATGTGACCGTGTGGGCGGCGCATGAAACCGAGAATCATCCTTCTTTCGATCTTGCTCGCAGCGTTGCAGCTGGCACTACTTGCCAATCATGCAGCGCGCAGCTTTTTTCTTTTTACGAATATGGAGTTG